ACTTGGTTGTCAAATTGGGGTCGGCGCCGTTATCAACCAGGAACTTGGCGGAGAAGGCGTCTCGTGAATCTATCGCCCTGTGTAGCAAGGTCCTCCCACGCGGACCTCTGGAGTCGGGGTCCGCACAATGCTGTAGAAGAGTTGTCGCTATGGAAGCGCTTCGGCCTCGCAACGCTAATTCTAATGGTAATTCTCCTCTTGAAGACATAGCGTTCACTATATCGGTTAACTGTAACAATGAAACCCGAGTTTTAAATTTCATTTTTAAGGTCTCAAGTATATTTAAAAAGAACAATAAGTATAAATGAAATAATGTAAAAACCAAATAAGATAATACGACAGAGTGACTGAACTCTGAGTGAATTGACCTCTTGTACATTAATAATTTGCATGTATAATCTTGTACATGCAAAAAATGACTGGGAGCATTCAACTTATTCAGTGCATGTAAGTATCATAAAAACTTGCATATCATTCAAAAAAAAAAGAGAACGTATTTTAAACCAAAAATAGATTGTCGAAAAATTGACTTTGAACGGTAATTTTTTAAAATATATTTAGAGGTTGCCCGGTATTTGTAGTGTTAATTCGTTACGTCTGCATTCATTTAGGAAGTATTAGGCAATCGTTAACTTACTATACGAGGCACGCAGCGCAGGGCCGAAATAAGAAATGTTTTTATTAGCGAAGTGGCGATAAGATATTGTAATTTCGGGTACATCGGGGTATCTGCCATTATCCTGTATATTTCCCCCGCGAAGCAAAATTGCTTTCTAATTTCAGATATTGCACAATATGATTGAGGCTTCAACCTCTTGTCTCAAGGCAGGTTGTGGCATTAACTTGTAATTTCTGTTGTTCATAACATAGGGCTATAAAAACACTTTTTAGAGGGAGAGTTATTACCCAAAGTTGAGCTTTTAAACTTAGCCTGGTAAAGAAAACCTTTTCCCCCATAATAAGCAATCAATCCATAGACAATAATCGCCATATTGCTAACTTGAACGAAGAGGTGTCGTACTCCGTATACATATACCGTTAGGCTCATTTCAGACGTTCGATCTCCGATAAAGAACTAAGATAGTCAGTAGTGTACTTTACCAAATGACTAGTACACCTGTAGTACAATGTTTAAAGGGGGATGTTTGTACCATATCCATTCCTAAAGATTAATTAAAAATTTATACAATGATCAACAAATCCTGCCATCCCAACGCTTTAAATAAAAAAAACATATTTTTTTATTATAGCTGAATTACCAGTTCTTTAAATGTTACTTAAATTCACAAATTCATTTAATTATTTTTTGGGTTTCCGTGCGTCGTAGACATAATCAAAACTATCGTCGTCCGTGACTACGAAAACCGAAAAGAATTCGAAGCTTCGAGAACAATATATACAACGCGAGATTAAATCGTAAAAATAATTTTATTCTAATCGTTTCAAGTTACGGGCAGCATTAGAAAATCCGACGACCCCCTCCGAGTTCAACCTCGGAAGTACGCAACGGTAACGTCAAAACAACTGATTGGCGACAGGTGAAGTGCAGAACAAAGTCTGGTCCGTTGAATGTTTATTGCATGTAGAATGTAGGTATCTTATTATATGAAGTTCAGTTCAATAACGCACATTTTTATGCAAAATATTATACGTTTGATGCAGTTTTAAATGTAAAGCAATTAAAAACAGCAAACAATGAGTGTCTTTAGTTTGCATAATGAATTCTCAAGGAAATTTAATGTCATCATATTAAAACGTGAGACCATCAAATATTGAGTACTTTTAAAATATTAATTACGGAAGAAGAGAGAAATAACATATTTTTAAAGTTACTACAGCAAATGAAGTACCTTTGCACGCGTTTTTTTTTAAATCTATGACGTAATAGTTTGGATGATCATCTTAAGTTAACAACGGGTAGTAATTGATTAAAAGTAGCGAGAGACAAAAACAATTGGACTTGCGTTCGAGGCGTAAATAAATGGTGGGTGAAACACAATTACGTTACGTTCCCCCAATAGCTGCAGCAAAACAAGAATTTCTATGCGTTCCATTAATCACTTAACAAGACCAGTTAAGCTATGAATTTGCTTGAATTATAAAATTAAGTAAAAATATATTATATATCAATAAAATATCATATTTGCTCTCTCGTTTATTTTTATATATTTACACCTAAAGACGACCATTGTTACACAGAGGTCTTCTAAAAGGCTCGCCATAATCACCGGTTCTACGATGTACCTATAATATCACCAGGTCGTCCGTGCACCTAGCAGATGACTTGCCTACTTTGTAACTTCCAATTCGCAATCCCAATACTACTATTCGGCCCATATACATCGATAAACAATAAATCAAGTACCGAACCGATATTATTATACAGAGCGCGACAGACTTAGCGCTCGGAATTCAAGTCGCATTAACACTCGTCAATGTAACTTGATGAATTACAATAGTCTACTTTCACGATTACACAATTCGTTGTGCGATATTTGTAACGAACATTCAATTATTATCCTTGCGTAATTTGTTAATGTAAAATTAATTTAACTAGAGGTCCCGCAGTAGTCGAAATTCGACTATAATATAAACTCTTCTATAATCACAAATTTTGCCAAGGCTACACTATAAAAAATATTAATAAAGACAAACAGTATTTAATCTATTCTCAATTTGACCACAGACGTCAAGAACAAAAGTTTGACAATAAATAGCATGGACGCGTGTGTGCGTTAAATACATGGTATTTAGTGTGTGTAATGTTTTCTTTATTGATTTAATGTATATTTTATGCATTATTTAAAAAAAAATTAGCATTGTGCACTTCTTCTCTATATTCTCTATAAGTGTGGAAAATTTCATACTCCTCCGTCCCTGTAATTTTCGTAAAAAGGGATACAAAGTTTTTCCTTCACGTATTAATATATAGATTTCATATGGGGGAAATGTAAAAACGAATATGGAAACAAAGAGCTCTGGTTAGCAAAATTAATAACAAGAAATAAAACAACCGAATGGTTTATAACAAAGACAAAATACAAAATATATTGCGGAAAACATTAACCTCATTTGACCTTGCCGAAGACGGAAAAATTCAATTTTGTATTAACCAGTATTTAACTATTATTCCATTAAATATTTAGTCACGTTGTTAACGTTGCAAAATATTCATGGAAAACCATAATTTGTCAGAACCGATAAAATTCGACGCAATCATTAAACCATAAGCATTTCGTAAATACTTCGAGAAACAGTTATTCGAGAATCGTAATTTATAATAACGTTTAAACCCTTTAAGAGAATAAGTTAATCTTTAAAATGTTTAATAATAGTCGACTACATTTTCGTTTTTGATTTCTATCCATCAATTATATCGAAAACATCAAGTAGATAAATCAAGAATTGAGATTAACAGTACAGTTTCTCCAACGCACGCAAACAGTCTGTTCTATTTATATACACATTTTTATCTTTTTAAGAGTTTTATTAAAAGCATCAAAACCCCGTCATTCATTTTCTGATTATAGACCACGTGTTCACGCATTTTATTTCAAAACGATCACTTGCCGCCTATTTTCATAGGGTACTTTTGAATGGCCAACCGAATTAAATAAAAATAAAAAACACGTTCATAAGATTTCAGGTGCTCAGCCATTACCTAAATGAATAGTCAAAGCAGACCAAAAGGCAAGTAATAATCTTGTTATAAATATTATTATTATTATTATTTTATTAAGTCGCTACATATTCGTTGGTAACCTAAGGGGCTATTCCAGCTTCCGTGAACGGCTACTTATTATGTGATGGATACTAGGTTTAAGTCATGTATAAGTTCAATGAAGTTACTCACAGACAGCTGAAGATAAAAACAACTATAACATTTTTTACTAGATAGACAAGCGAGTTCACGGCACATCTGTTCATAAATGGTTAATATACTAGAGCTTCTATTACATGACGACGTGAATGCTGCAGCTTGCTTTGAAACATCGAAGCCTGACTTGTAATATAAGCCGTTTTAGCCCTAAGCACATCATGACGGATCCTCCCGATCCATTAACGGTGCTTTTAGGTACCTCAAGCACCGGTCACCGTACTCGCCGAAGCCATCGCTTGCGACGAAGGGCTCGACGAGTTAATTAACCCATAGATACAGCCCACTGACTTTCTCGCCGGATCTTCTCAGTGGGTCGAGTTTCCGATCCGGTGGTAGATTTTGCGATGTACAGCTCTTGCTAGGGCCAATGTTAGCATCACTCCCAGTTTGAGCCCCGTGAGCTTACCTACACGTCAAGGAGAAGCTGAAATAGCCTCTCAGAGCTATTAGCATAGGTAGGAAAAAAAACCCTCTTACTGTTTAAGGCGGTCCGTAGACTGTTTTGCGGTAGAAATTGACAGAACATTCTGATTTCTTCAGTATAGGGCACGTGTGGCCCAGGATATCCACACCTGTTATTACTCAATCTCATGCGGCTCAAAGAGGCCGGTCACTCTATAATGACATCTACCAGTGCAAGTAAATGATGCTCGATCCACCACTATGTTGTTGTGTTTTTTTGTGAAAAGCCTTTAAACATCCTCTAACCCAGTGGTTCCCAAACCAATTTTGTCTACTGCCCATTTTAAGAATAAATTATTTTTAGCGCCCCCAATTTTTTCTACCTACTTAAAAACCACCATAGCGAGAGCTCAGTCATGTCTAAGAGTTCTTCTAGATGAAATTAAAAATCGCCTCCCAAGCTTTTACACAACGCCCCCATATTTTTCTGGGTCTCTTACCGCCCCCCATTAGGCCTGCAGCGCCCACAAGGTGGCGTTATCGCCCACTTTGGGAAAGACCGCTCTAACCCATTCAACCCGCAAACTATACATTTTTGGGACCAAAATACTTGCGATCGGCGGCGACCCGCAATAAAACGCTAGACAGCCGGCCTTACGAAATGAATCGAAACGTGCGTGTTTACCAGCACCGCAGCAGCGGTGAGCAGCAGATCATTAAACTGCTCAGTCGTTTCTTGTCAACATACGGACCCGCTCGCGTTCTTTCACGAAACGCACAACACACGTGCTGATTTACGATACTAATTAATTACTGCAAGTGTCTGTGTAAATTCTATGGAATCAAATTGAGCGTTCCATCATAATACGTTTAACCTTATATCAAAGTACATCTATTTTAGATTATTTTATATGTTTTTCGTATTGACAAAGTTTTGTATTATCTTGGCCAAAAAGTGTTTGGAGAATGTATTAAGAATTGTATGCTGATTATAGTTCATCAAAGTAAGTTACGTGCTTATATAATTTTCGAAATACCTTTGTGACAACATTACTATTATTACCAAAACTCGATACTTAAACATCCATAGAAAACTGAGTGTATTACTTTATTAATAATTGAAGTCGATAAATTTATATATATGTATATTATTTTTCTATTTTTTTATTGCTTAGATGGGTGGACGAGCTCACAGCCCACCTGGTGTTAAGTGGTTACTAGAGCCCATAGACATCTACAACGTAAATGCGCCACCCACCTTGAGATATAAGTTCTAAGGTCTCAATTATAGTTAAAGTATCAAATTTATCACCCGACTGGTCCTAAAATAATATTTTTTATTACTGTATTTTCTAGAATAGTAATATTATAAATGTTTAACTCAATAATACAACAATGACGTCACTTGATCGCACATCGAGTATCTATGTGATCTCCACGAGAGCTAAGTGCTTGTTTTCGTCATACTCTTAACTCTTAAAAACAAGCAGCAAGGTATTTGATGACGTAAAGTATACAGATCAACCGTGATCTTGTTAAGCATAGTAAATATAATTTTCTTATATCGTGTATACACTTTGTACTGACACGTTTTATGTACTATATAGTTGTATGTATGTACTAGTATCTAGTTGTGAGATGATTCACGAGCTTGTGGATTGTCTAAGAAATTGTTCCCATATCTTTATGAATACTATAGTTAGGAACATATTTCTAATTTTACTAGATAAGTTAGGAAAATGAGTTCACGGCCAAACTGGTGTATATATTTATCTAAAATGTTACCGCTACGTTTTAAATGTCGCTGCCTACTTGGAGACAAGAATAGGAAATTGAAGAATTTTTATTAATAATATTTTGAAATTTAGGCGCATATTTTTACAAAACTCAGCTGATTGTAATTTCATTACGTGTTACGTCATTTGAGGCCAAAATAAACGATGAGCTAATCATAAATCTTACAATAAATACAAAACGATTGATTACATAGAATTACCTTGACGTTTAGCTTGACGTGAATAGTTACTAAGTTATCATTCCTTATAAATTTTTTATTGTTGTTTGGTTGCCTATGGATACCATTGGTAGTTGGTACAACCGCTGTCACTACTCTTCTATCCGAAGTGCCTGATTAGCTCATAGCAGTAATAGGCAGGACGGTATTACCTACCCGTATGGGCTTGTAACACGTCTTGCCTAGATTTTTGAGTTAGAACTTCGATCTTCTTTAGCATTTGTATGGAACACACGAAGCGATCATATATGGACAATAGCGTGGGCATATAGTAAAACCTAAGGCCAACCGAAAGCCTTTTTTAACTGCACCGTATAATATAAATTGTATTTCTCTAGTTGGGCAGACAAGGGTTTTATCATTATTGTCCAATAATTCAAGCTAAAACGCATGATTGTTTTTTTTTTTTTTATTGCTTACATGGATGGACGAGCTGACAGCCCACCTGGTGTTAAGTGGTTACTGGAGCCCATAGACATCTACAACGTAAACGCGCCACCCACCTTGAGATATAAGTTCTAAGGTCTCAAGTATAGTTACTGCTGCCCCACCCTTCAAACCGAAACGCATTACTGCTTCACGGCAGAAATAGGTGGGGCGGTGGTACCTACCCGTGCGGACTCACAAGAGGTCCTACCAACAGTAAATTTTTGCGGTAAAAATAGACAGAATACACATGCGAATTCACAATACGCCTTATAGTATGTAAATCTATAAATTATGCTTGAATATTTATCGCCAAGACTTCTTAAGTATGAACGTATTAACTTAAAAATTTTCACTCCCGGGAATCCCAGGATCAGAGCCCCGGAATAGTCTCATTACTCGATATAAGTCCGCATACGGAAGCTAGACGCATAATAGAAGATAATGTAAATGTTAAAAGCGTCTGTGATAACTATGAAGAAATATTTATTACGCGTTAAATATAGCAAGCACAAGCTTACAATAGTGACTAACTAAATTCACGATTTGTATTATACTTACAATGCCCAATAGAATTTTATTGTAATTTTGACTTTGAACTAAAGACATTGACTTATTCACCTGCATTAATAAACTATTCAAGGTTGCAATGTATAATACGTATTGACAAGAGTTGAGTCAATCAGCGTGAGTCAATGCCATTTTGATTTCAATCCCTATTCACACGTAGGTGGCATATAATACAGATTCTTATCAGAATGCGATGCCTCCAATGAACACTACTCTAACTCAACATTTTGAAATTTTCGTTTTTCACGCAAATCGTTTCACTATTTTAAAAGTATTACAGATTCATTATTAATGGGGTTCGAAGCAAGAGTAAATCAGCTAGTTACACAAAAAAAAACCATAAAATCTTTATTATTGCAGATATATTTATCAACTTTTTTCGTTTAAACTCTCCTCCTGTAAACCTACGAATTTGGAGTCAGAGTAGTGTTCATTGGAGGCATCGGTAATACTTATGAAAACGTAGACGTAAAAGTTTGTTCTATGTACGAGTGTTTAATTATATTACTTACGTTTTAAGGAATTAATTAACCTCTAAAAATTCAACGTTATTTTCAAGAATGCTATGAATAAATACACAAATAATGAACCGAGTTTGAAAGGTTAAATTGTACAGTACTGTATATTTTAAACTACATATTTACATAGTTTATACAATAAAAACAGATTTCAGAGGATCTTGACTGATAACTGTCTATCCAGCAATTTTATATAATTAGAAGTTTGTAAGGCATGGGAATGCAACTCCGATATCCTCGTTCGCTCCTTTTTCCTATGAGCAATATGATACTAGTTCTATCGCTAGTAGCAGCCACAAAAAAGTTCACGGTACTCGTCGAAGACTTCGACTAGGCTCTTATCCAATAGTATCAGCCTGGTGAATTTTTCACTGAATCTGCTGAGGGTCGCGATTCCGATCTAGTAGTAGATTCGCGAAGCAACTACACTCAAGCCTCGGGCAAGATCGATTTAATGATGGCTCGATTATCATGTTTTAAGTATGTAATTAATTACTACAGATAATTTGCATTATGATTTTTTTCCCCTATCTATTTGCTGGTAGCCTAAGAGACTATTCCAGCTACGTCCGGACGGGTAGGTGAGCTCACGGGCTCAACCTGACAGAATTTGCAAACACTAGCCCTGGCAAGAGTAGTGCTTCGCAGAATTTACCACTGGATCGGAATAGCGAACCTACTGAGAAGAAGTAGGCAGCGGCTTGGCTCTGTCCCTGGCATTGCTGAAGTCCATGGGCGACGCTAACCACTCACCATCAGGTGGGCCGTGCGCTCGTCTGCCTACAAGGGCAATAAAAAAAATCCGACGAGGAACTCAGTGGGCTTGCATTTTGAGCTTCCACGTCATCATAATACCTATTTCTACAGCGAAGCAACGGAACAAAGGAATGCTTTGAGGTTACTACCATACCGATATGGAGCTACAATATGCTTTACCACCATATATATATTATATTACGATATCTCGCAGATCGTTCTGAACATAATATGTGTAGATACAACTCGGTAATGGTTTTTTTATAACTTATATTCTAAATTGGAGCTACCCTCGTTTTTTTAATTTAAAATGATTTAAAAATGGTGTATATGGTTTTTGTATAAATACATCATACAATTTTATTACTCATCGTGTGAATGAACTTGAATGCTTGAACTCTTAAGTTTTACAAGTGTGGGCGCAGTTGGCACTAATGTATATTCTATTCGTATGCAACAGTAACATATTTCTTAGAACTCTTACTCATTTCAAATGTATTCATTTAGTGTTAGCGAATTTACGGTCAGACACTTCGTATACAATCAGTGGAGTACTTTTATTACAATAATTTTAAAGGTAGAATTATATTTGATCAGATTTGATTCAGAGTCCATTAGCGGAATTGTGAAACGCATTGGTCTGCATTGAAATAAAAAATTGAAACATCGTTCAATACGGGTATACCACGCGTCTTATCATTTCGGCAACGGCTTCACACAATATTAAAATTTTCTTTTATATTTTCCAAAGACATAACTAATCTTCCTGCAGTCAGAGCTTAAAAGTTTCAAGCTCTTCACGTGACCAATATCACCTACGTGTGGTTCACTCTTTTTGAGTCACGTCACAGTTGAATTAATAGACGTTCATTAATAAAATCCCACATGATCTGTTACAAATCATTATATCATAGATATCACGCGATTCAGAGTTAATAATTTTGTCGTGTTTTTTTTTTACTGTTCTATATTACTTAGTAACCAGATTGATAAAATTATATACTGAAAATATATTAATATATTTAATATTTTTAAGTCGAAAAGAATATTCATTTACCACAAAATTCAGCAAAGGTACTTGTTGAGAAAGTTCTTTATTATTGAGCACGTTTTTCTATTCCGAATTTTCAATAATTTTACTTAATTATTTTTGTGTATTTAAATTTGAATAAATAAATGTAAATGAACAAACTGATTTAGTTTTAAATATTAGAATGAGCAATGGTTAGTTTAAATATTCACGGAATTCGTACACGGTACGCGTGAATAGGCCTTGTGACAGACGAAATAGCTCAACAGGTTTCTTTGTCCTTAACCTGCTGTTAAAGAAAAATAGCTGACGTAATTTTAGCATGTTGCAGAAACACCAAAACCGGATCAATAAAACAGACTAACACCAAAATGATGATCATAATATTTGTGTCACTGTGACGTTAACGTCATATGAAATAATAGAATTAGCAATTTTACTTTTCCATTGTGAACAATGTGTGCTTCAAACATTCTCACATTTCGGTTTTTTTTTAAATAATAATATTTCATGCATATACATACAAGAGGAGATTAAACGCTTGCCGCTTAAGAAACTTTGAAAGTGTATTAACTTTGCTGCATTACACACGTGAATTTTTAGTTTCATTTTGTATTGAAAACTATTGCATGGTTGACGTTTGTGTACGCAATACCGAGCGGTATTTTGTAATTCTTATGACGTGAATTTGTGCAGTTCAGTTCTTTTCCAATTAGCCTCAAGTTGTTATGAGATTACACAAAGGTAATTTTAATATATAATCCAGTCAGTAAATTTGAATAATTAGAAACTGATTTGAATTACAATAAGCGAGCTAAGTTCATAATTAATAGTATTGCTAGTATATTCCTTGGAATAAAAATAAAACGACTGAAGGTTATTTATTCTATTCAATCGTACTTAAGCTTTTGAAATTCAAAATTGATCTTAATAGCACTAGGATTTCTTACAAATTTTTTTTTAAAGTAACAGAAAACCTAACCGTACGTATACATTATTATTTACAAATACATGTTTTATACATACAACAACACATATTGAAACAAATTAAAAATTATTTTCATACAAAAACTTAAGCAAAAGCATTTGATATGGAATGCCAATATGATCAAAATCCAAAACATATTTAGATTAAAAAAACAGATTAATTTATAATTCTCGATCGATATCTTAGCACGTATACATTTTGATTCAGAGAAAGGCCAGGCAAACATGTTAGGACCTTGAAACGAACACGACCGGCAACTGCGCCAATTCACCACGCAGTACATATTATTATAATATTGAGTATTACCGATGCATTACGGCATAGCTGCAATAACGATGGCCGTTCCAAGCACATCACTATGCGCGAGTTGTATTAGCTAAAATATTAAATAATACAGTAAAAGTATACAAAAAAATAATACAAAATGTCTCGGAACTGTGATAAAATAAGCATAACATTTTTTTTGTTGAAATGATATATTATAAATGCAGCATAAATACAAGCACGCATTGCATTAAGTAATTGTAGACGCATCTAGACCACAAAAGTTGTTTCTGTGTTCACCAACGAAACGACCTGATGGGTCAAGTCGTTTCAAAGTCCTTGACATACCATATTATCATTTTGTTTTCTTTTCAGATCTCTGCAATCGTTCGCCGAAGAAACACAACGCGTCGTGTAATTGGTGAAGTGATAATTAAAAAGTGACAGTGAAATTTAATATGACGGAGCAGTACTTGATAGCTGTCGTTTTGATTATATTATCCTTGACAAATACAGGTTAGTGTTTAACGTATGTCGTAATGTATATTGTATCATTTAAAACTAGTTTTGTGGGAGGTGCAAATTTTTAAAAATAACATTCACAACAATTTCAAGTTCATTGGACTTGAGCGATTTAAGTAGGCTGAAATACGTGTAGCCTTACATCTTATCTCTCACTGTACACAAATACGTACATCTTAATATTTACAAAGAATGAAATGAATTAGATAAATATGCGAACAAATATCTCTCTTTTTTCTTCTGAGCATTTGTGCTACTCTATCAAGAAAATTCCGAGAAAATACACAAAATGTTAGTAATTCATGCAAAGTATGCTCCTTCATGGTGCCACGAAGTGATAATTTGAGTTTAGGAAAAAGAAAGAAGTCGGGTGGAGCGATCTTTGGTGAATAAGGTGGTTGGTTACTTGTTGGGTTTTTGGTGAAAAATTCGTTCACAATGATTCCCTTATGGGAAGGTGCATAATCGTGGTACAAAAACCAAGAATTTACTTTCTACAAATTCCCCATAACGCTTAAATAATATTATTTATTTACTGTTTGATCTCCCGGCAAGAATTCCGAACACAGCGATAGTCAAACAAAACAAGCAAAGACTTTGACTTTTGATTGACTTTGGCATGGTTTTTTCGGTTTTGGTTTAAATGGAAGGCGCCACTCCCAATATTGTTGACTGTTTGCCTACCAAACCCGTAAAGGTATGTCTCGTCATCAGTAGCATTGAGTTTCTTTAATGTTGAGTCGAAATCGACTCATTCTAACATGTCCTCAACGACTCTTATGCGATTGAATTTGTGAAGAAAACTCAGGTCTTTTGGAACTAGCTGGTAACATGCAATACCGTCTTTGCCATAAGGGCACACGGGGCCCGTGCCCAGGGCCCCCATTCTCAGGGGGCCCCTAAAGACCGACAATTTCTCTCACACGTTTACTCTCAAAACATTTTTGTCGGGCACGTTACACTTTTTTCACAAATCAGTAATCGGAAGGTATTTACAAGGCATATACTATGCTTATAATAGAAGATTTTGCTCAACAGAAATCCCGGAAGAAACCGTTATCGAAATCGTAACCAAAAAACCAGCAGCATTCTAATATCATTAATGACATATTATATCATACTGTATTTGATTACCTACAATAAATGATCATACTCAGTAAAAAAATGTTATTATAATTCGCTTTTTTTACTTTCCAAAAGGGCCTCAAATTCTTGTGTGCCCAAGGGCCCCATCCTACTTTAAGACGTGTAACATGTTTCATACCCAAATGATTATAAAAAAAAGGGTATAAGCTGATTCATGAAACACTGAAAGTTCGGCCCTCTCCTCTCTCAAACTTAAATGAGGATTGTTAGTTAAAGAGTTAGTTAGTTACAGACTGTTGCGACGTTAATTTTAGTTGCAGACGTTGATGGGCAGCCAGAACAAGGTTAATATTCCATCACATCTAGCTCGCTTTTGTACGCTTTGTGCCACCCATAAGGACATGTTTGTAATAAAGTCGATTCACCGTAAGCCTTCTTTAACATTTTCAATGACTCCGAACACAAAATTCTATTAGCGAAGCATAATTTAAGACAAACTTCTTATTCGATATAACTCTTTGTCCATTATGAAATTGGTAATGCACACTATTTAAGATATAACTAAAAACAGGATTGTATTAAATCTGCAATGACAGATGCAACTCTAGCTCCGGCCAAAATGGAAAACAGTTGTGCCAATCTAACAACTTTATTTTATTTTATTGCTTAGATGGGTGGACAAGTTCACGGCCTACCTCGTGTTAAGTGGTTATTGGAGCCCATAGACATCTAAAACGTAAATGCCTCACCCACCTCAAGACAAGAGTTCTAAGGTCTCAGTTTTAACAGTACAACAGCTGTCGCACCCTTGAAACCGGAACGATTTATTGCTTCACGGCAGAAATAGGCGGGGTGGTGGTACTTACCCATGCGGAATCACAAGACGTTCTACCACCATTAAAAAAAAAGATTTATTGACTAAATCTATAGCGGTGAATATCTCTGAAGTGGATTATCTACCGTTTTCGCTTTTACTATAGCAAAACAGTGATATAAAGAGGTAAAAGTTTTTTCTTCATTCTATAATTATGATAAAAATGGTTTAGTTAACCAACTATACAAGAACATATTATAATATTAAGTATAAAACTATAACAAAACTGGGTCTGCGCGACCCGACTAGCAATTATTAGCTTCTTGTCTGTTTAAACATGTTGCAGAAGCCGAGTTTGGTGGCGATTTTCCTGCTTAATTGTTTATCTTAAATGTGTATAATTATTCATTTCCTAATTAATTTCGAAGTTGAGAACAGATTCAGTGTGTCTACAAAATGCGTGCGCCAGTGATAACTATTTTAATGGAACGATTTCAATTTGTTCAGATTGTTACAAGAATAGAAAACTATGAACACAATACATAACTTTTTAATTTACACTGTTCACAACTTTTTTTTATAGGGCAATTATACATCGTTGGTTTTATTCGGTAAAAAGCCCTAACCAGCGTTTAGGCAATAAAGGCTCCAAGGGATTTATGTATTTCACTATTTACTAATGAAAACATTTTTTTATAGCTTAGCTGAGTGAACAGACTGACAGCTGTTCTGGTATTATGTGGTTTTCGACATCTATAGGCTACACAACGTAAAGGCTGTCGACCACCTTGAAAGCTCAATTGTTTTCTCTAACGGCTGTTAAGTCGCAGTAGAATTCTGCCAAGAAGTACAGTCACTCAGTACAGGGACAGTATCTGTAGTCGAAAGGCTGAGATCCCATACGTATTATTCTAATTATCAATACCGCAGATTATTAAGGTACCCTGAATTATAATTTCCTGGTAAAATTTAATGAAGGACCAATTAAAATAAGTCGAAAGTTATTTTAGTGTCTTAACCAACTACGTTGTTTTTTTTAAATTATCATGACTTTTTATTGTAAAATATTGTTAAGTCTTTAATAATAATTATTCTGTCTCATGACTCCACTGAATAAATTATACAGTATTAAAAGAAATAAAATTGCCGGTGCGACAACGGCCGCGAGCCTATACCCAGGCGTGGGTTCATTAAAATCGTAACAAAGTGACGTAAGTCCTCGACTTTTTTCAACACACTGAGATGCAGGTTGCCCAATAATGTATACAGGTCTATCCGTATCACACACAGTTCTATCATCTTCATGAAAAATATATTTGGTCACGAGCCTGGCAATCATTGCTTCTGTTTCATTCGAATACATTTCTGTTTGTTTTCGATACCAGTTTTCTTTATATATCTTCCGAATATTTAAATGTTCTAATTGATCCAATACTTTACTAACGTAATGTACTGAATTTGTAATGTTTGTTACATTATAAAAACGCGGTAAATGTTGAAATATCATTTTAAATTCGATTTTTAATAATGACCAAATCATTTCATCTTTATTATCAGTTTCCATGTAGTTATATATGTTTTTCATGAGATCTTCATGTTGAATAAAACCACAATATAATTTTGTTTCTATGTAAAAATGTGCCCCTGGTGCAAAATTGCAGACTACTCTTACATCACCGTTTGTTTTCTTACCGCACGCACATCCTATACGATCAGTATTAGCCCGAAGTATTTGTATTGTTTGAAAAGTTGACGCTGATACATGTCCGCATTCAATATCACGTTTATTCAATTTCCGAGCAGCGCTTAAAAACCAAATATGGACACAACCAACGATTGCAGGCACGAAACACTCCGGCAAAGGTACGCTTAAAGATAAAGAAACAGTTTAAAATATGAAAACATTTTACTTCAATAATATATTTTGTAAAATTTTACCATTTAGATCCATAATTATATTTTTTGTTATATATACAGCAATCATTTCCATATCTTGTACATTCTAGTTGCGTGACATAGTTAGATCCGAGTGCTGAACACGGGGGATGACCGGGCAAGCACTGCTGGAGCCACGCCTTTGCCATTTTTTCCAAATCTTGGTCATACATAATTTGCTTCATGTTAGCGGCAGTAGGCAAATGTTTATAGTCCTTAGATGTTCCACGGGCAATCTCGTTTCGCATTGAGTTCAAAGTATTGACTAAGACGATCCTTTCATTATTATTCGGTGCTACCACTGCGTAGTTTTTGTCACACATAGCAGAATTCTTTTTAATTGGAAACAAACATAGCGTATGGTCACCGTAGCACGGTTCATCTTGACACCACTTGTTACTTCTCTGGTAGCGCCATCTAGTATATGAAATTGAATCATGTGGTATTTGAAGTCCGTCATCAATGACATTTTCTAATAGTTGTCCCTTCGTGAAAAATACAGAGGAAGCCCTCTTTCTTTCTGGTAATTTACCGTATAGTATTGGTAAGTTCCAACATGGATAGTCTTCTGCAACATACCATACGTTAGCATTGATTCGGTTTACTGGCAAAACATCATTATTGATTTGGTTGATTGGCCATTTAACAACGGCTGGTTGCAAATTTTTGAAATTGAGTATACTGTTTCCTTCAGCGCTATTATAGTTATTATCCTTGCCATTCTGAAAAATAGTACCAGTGGCATGAAAAGCAATATTTGTACTATTTTCAACATGTTGAAATGTTGGTGAAGGATAATCAAAAAAGTCGTAAAAATATAACTTTTGAATCAAATCTGTCGAATTTCTTATATAAGATATATCTTCAATCGTCTGTGATTTCTTTATAAGGCTTTCGTTCACAACAGATGTATTGTTTGCCAAAATTCTATTAGGATTTAGTATACTTGAGTTGTTATTACCAACGCATTCAGTATGTTGTACGACATTATTAAGTGACCTGTTGTTATGCAATAATTCATCATTATCACCAGATTTACGCGAATCTAGTGATATCTCTGTGTTTTCGTATTTTTCATTCTCGTAATCGACGTAGTAGTCTAAATCTACGCAGAAACCTTTTAAAACGGACGCAAATAAAATACACTTCAACAATATTGGTGACATTATTCACGGCCTTATAGATAGATATTTACGAAACTGATGAAATAAACAAATAAATAATAGAATTTTATTTGACACTTCGATATAGACAACTTTGATTACGTGTAATATATATATATGTGTGTGTGTGTGTGTCAAATACATGGTAGTGTGTGTAATGTTTTATTGATATATTGTACGCATAATTTAAAAAAAAAAATTTTAGCATTCTGCACTACTCTAAAAAGTGTGGGAAATTTTATACTCCTCCGCCCGCGCAATTTTCGTAAAAAGGGGGTACAAAGTTTTTGCTTCACGTATTAACATATAGATTATATTATAGTAATAAATAATACTTTCGGACCCGACTGCCGGTCTGAGGACTGTCAAGGCGGTTCTCCCGGTCCTAGCGGACTGGGTGATTCACGAATCACCGAAGACGTCTCACCTTCTGTCTGACACATGTCCTCACAAGTGATGGTTGTTTCGGCCATTACCTGCACTTTATTGCCGGGGTGGAGCCGACGATGGGAATGCCATCATTGCGCCTACGACGAGGACACCTGAAGCAAACGCTCGCAGCTTGCTCCGCTTGGGAGGGGTTACGTCGTATCTTCATTGCCCAAATTGGAACGGACTTGTCACTATCGACCGTTGTGCGTACATTGCTCGGCAGCAACGAGTCTTGGAAGACGATGATTAAACTTAGCGGTTCCAACCCGATTGATTCACAGCAATTAAATGAATATTTTATACAATAATATATTCCAAAATTAAGTGCAATTGAAATTCTCCGTTTTAGAAATCTATTGCTTAGGTGAGTGGACGAGCTCACAGCCCACCTGGTGTTAAGTGGCTACTGGAGCCCATAGACATCTACAACGTAAATCCGCCACCCACCTTGAAATATAAGTTCTAAGGTCTCAGTATAGTTACAACGGATGCCCCATCCTTCAAACCGAAACGCATTACTGCTTCACGGCAGAAATAGGCGGGGCGGAGGTACCTACCCGCGCGGACTCACAAGAGGTCCTACCACCAATAATTACGCAAATTATAATTTTGCGATGTTATTTCTTCACCGTTGACGTCAATCGTGAACATTTGTTGAGTACGTATTTCATTAGAAAAATTGCTACCCGCCTGAGATTCGAACACCGGTGCATCGCTCGACACGAACGCGCCGGACGTTTTATCCTTAAGGTCACGATGACTTTTACAAATATATCTTTATACTTTGTTTTAGGGGTTCAATCTCTGCAATGCTACCAGTGCCTGATCAACCCTCCACTCGGTTACTACTACAACAACACGAATCGACTTTGCGTCCACTTCGACCACTCAGACAAGTTTATCGTCGAATGTCCATACTCTACGATGTGCATGAAACAGGAATTTCATCTTGATATTCAGAACGGAGGTTAGTTTCATAATTTCAAAGCAATTGTAGACGATGTATTCCAATTTAACCAAACTATACAACCCGAAGTTCTTTCGTAACTGTAGACTGTAGAATGTCTTCCAAATTATCAACTGATTCATTGTTTCCCAGTTAGAATAAAAGGGATCCTCCGCGACTGTGCACCTCAAAAATATGACTACCAGGAGTACAAGAATGGTGTTTGGTCCCCGAAAACAGAAGTCATGGAGCCATATAAAGTAGGCTGCCAGGATATTGATGACAAAGGACAGAGAACAACTCCTACAAGGTAATGAAATATAATACAATATATTGTTTGCAGAATTTGTCGTAGTAACAATACTTTATCAATAAACTAAATTTTTGATATGAATTACGTTATGTATTGCTCTAAGTACACAAAACCTTCTTATTAATGACCGAAACAAGATTCCAAATCACATTACCTCAACTCAAAACGAAATGAAAATCTGAATGCGGTTAATGTGTCTTCAAAACGCTTCCACTGAATTGTTATATGACATAAATAATATTATAAAGAGGAAAGATTTGTTTGTTTGTTTGTATTGAATAGGCTCCGAAACTAATAAACCGATTTGAAGATTCTTTCACTGTTTGAAAGCTACACTATTCCCGAGTGACATAGGCTATAATCTTTTTTGAAAAAAAATATATAGGGATCCTTACTAAAACTCCAAAAATGTAAACCAAGGTGTAAAAATATTACCTATAATATTCTTTACATCGTGTGCCCTGCGTAAACTATTGATGATAGAATAAAATAATGTACTACGACTTTCTAGAACACATTATTATTTACAAAAAGTATCGCGACAGCGTATGTCTAACTATTATAGTTATGCCGCAATAAGTGTTCTTTTATTTAAAAAAAATAAAACAACGTCAAATATCTTTGAAATTTTTGTTAAAGACCCGAGCGGAGCCGGAGCGGGCCGTTAGTATCACATAAACATACCATTTTAATATGCAGTTAGTTGTATTTATTTTTAATTTGATCGATCATTATTACTCATCTGAACTTTTGCTGTGAACGTCCGTATAGTATATCGCAGAATTTATCATGACTCATGTTTTTTACTTTGTTTTGTTTTGTTATTCACGTAACTAACGTCCTGGTTTAAATGCAAATTAATTGTTTACGTGAAAAAATTAATAAAATTTTATCTCTACGGCATTACTTTATTTCAATTAAATAATACCACGTGAACAAGCATTTATCGCAATGGCAGTGAATATGCAGACCGTGAATAAGAAAAAATATCCGTTTGTTCCGGTCTGATCTTCTCATTTTTTTGTTTTATTTCAGATACTGCTATTGCCGTAGCAATCTCTGCAACTCTTCGCCATCCGTGACTCACGAAGGCTACACCGACATTATGGGATTCATTGTAGTATTCAATCTAATGAAATATATAAACAGTCTTAGGTAGTTGTCAATATTGCCTTAGGTAGTTTAATATTTATGACGCATTACGCTCACTCGACTCATCGCAGAGCTATTTGTGATATTTTTATGTAAATAATACGAAAACAGACATGTTTTTTTGTTGTATTTGAATAGGTTTAGTTGGACGAATTCGTTTTAAGTCTTTAAGGTTTCTACATATTCTATATAACAACATCTACACTGGGGACCATCAGTGATTTTGATAAATACCTCAATGAATGTTGCAAGTAATATAAAAATAGTTATTTAATAAAAGTGATTAATTTCAAAATCTTCATGTATTGAGTAGTACCGTTTCATTTTATTGTTCTCTGTGTAGTTCCTCATGACTTACACTTGATATAGTGTATTCTAAAAATGCATGACTTATTTAAAACAAAAAAAAATGCCTTTTTAGGCAGACAAGCATACGGCCCACCTGATGGTAAGTGGTTACCACCGCTCATGGACGTCAGCAATGTCAAGGGCAGAGCCAGGCCGCTGCCTACCATTGACTCTCCGCAAGTCACGTTTGAAGAAGGACATGTCATAAGCGCTCGGTAAACACCGTGGAGGGGAGTTTATTGAATACGTCTGCTGCAGTAGCCATCTCGACGGAGATGAGTACCAATTCATTGGCAAGTAAATTAACGCAGGTTGAAAAACCACTTTTTTTATTCTTATAGTTATTTTATCCAGTGTAGTGCCAATTGATTCGGAACACAGCAAAGCAAAGAACAGCACAGCACAGCATGGCTTGATGTCGACTATTTACCTTTAGACCAGAATGTAATGAAAGTCTATAATGAAATAAAAACTTGATCTTAAAATGAACGAACTACGGTAACTGCATATAAGAATAAGTAGTCAGATTAAACTTTGTTCGAATTATCATGAGAGCTGTATGTTGATAGACATTTAAACCTTCTTTAAGAAATTACAAAGTATAATATTATACATCTTTCGTACCGATTTTAAGTTATATTAAATTTTAATGTTATTATTGTGATAATAGGGGGAACTAATAAAAGCCTAATATTTATAATGCGTCTGTTGTTTATACAATTCCTACACTCCCGCCTAACCATCCAAAAAAGGCAAACTTTTCGGGAGCACTTGTGAGTATATGAATATGAGTTTTTGGTAGTCTTGTCGTGGCTTAGTAGTCAGCACTTGACAAAGGGATGAACGGTAAGTTCAAATTATATATCGGACAGCTTATGTTTTTATTTACAGCAACAAAATTATACTATTTCTCATTACGAGTATTATGAGATATGGTTGATAACAAAACTAAGTAACCGGTAAGATCTATGATTGTTAAAAGAACATCACGAACAAATACGATATTCGAGTCTTTTATTTATCTATATTGAATTATCTACATTTTCTGCATAGATGCATTACAGGTGGTGTAACTTCATAATTACGTAGATCCGACGATTGCTATGACATTCAATTAAGGAGTCCGGGTGTTAATTTCATAATAATATTAAAATCAATTTTTGCTTAGAATAGTGGACAATCTTACGGCCCACCTGATTTCGAGTAATTTCCGGAGCCCATAGACATCAACAACTTAAGTGTTCGAACAATTTCAAATGCTCGAAACCTATTTCTGCTTCGCTGCAAAAATAAGCAGGATGACGTTATCTACCCATTGGGGCTCACAAGACGCTCTGCCACCAGTAAAAATGAAGGTACTTTGGAAGGTTTATCGACAAAGGGAAGATCTTTCACCGAGCGGGTGATAATGCTCGGTAGACCGACGGTCCGAATGTTGTTTTTTTTTCCTACCTAAATTGAGAGCCTTGGGAAGCTATATAAGCGTAACCTTAACTAGTAGATGAGCTCACGGGGCTCAAACCTGACGACGTTGCTAACACGAACCCTAGCAAGAGCCGTGCTTCGCAGAATCTACCACCGGATCGGAAACGCGACCCACTGAGAAGATCGGGCGAGAAACTAAGTGGAACTTGTATATACCTAATAAGCAAACTTATCTTGAAAATTTCACAAGCGAGATCATGCGTCTGTCAGATATGTTGTGTTCTATAATGGCTACAGTAAAATGAAATAGAAGATTTGAACTTTTTTGCCTTCGATGGGAAAAAATGGATTATGAAATTCGATTCCAGCATGGCATCCTCCAGCCATGACTACTTCTCCATCGTTCGACCATAATGATAATATTCTAATTAACTTTAATTAATTCTATTAATCACTACTGAACGATCTATTGGCACGCGGCCGTTCCACGCGGCGCGAGGTTCTGTAATACTGCTCTTAATTTCAAGTAATGTGGCGTTAATTTTAATGCGTTACTACGCTACCAGGTAAGTTTATGAATTTCTAATCACGGTTAAATACAGTCTGAAAATAAAAAAGACAATTCGAGATAACTTTTTACTATTAAAAGTATGGTGGTCATCCGGGTGTAATACCTACGATAATATAATAATAATAATAAAGCCTTTTTATTTCCACTAAATTTACATAACTTAAATCTATGTTTGATTTTAGTATAATTTTTAATACAGTTTTTATCGCTTACTTAATATAATTAATATGTTTACTTAATATTATATAATTATGTTTACTTAATAATATGTAGTTTTTAATCTACCGGAACCCCAGATTGGGTGAAGGCCTCCTCCAGTGATGCCCATTTGATTCTGTCTTCAGCTACTTTTTTCCAGTTTGGACCAGCTATTACTTTAATGTCATCTTCCCATCTTGTTATAGGTCTACCTCTTGTTCTTTTGCCTAAGGGACCGTTCCAGAATGTAGATTTTTTGGTCCATATATGATCAGTTAATCGTGCAACATGTCCCGCCCACTTCCATTTCAATATAATATAGGTACCACGATAATATAGGTAGATATTTATCCAGAGGGATGTTGATTCGGTTCATTGAACTCTCCCGGCCAGACGTCACATTATTGCTCATACAACGTAACCGTTTACATTAAATGGATGCTCCACACGGATTTCCTCCCGGATTAGGAGGAGGAATCTCACACCCCCGATTACTCTCTTTAGACAACCCATACCCTGGGCCAGGAAGGTCAAGTACCTGGGCGTTACCCTGGATGCATCGATGACATTCCGCCCGCATATAAAATCAGTCCGTGACCGTGCCGCGTTTATTCTCGGTAGACTCTACCCCATGATNGAAGTTGAGAGAAAGCGGCCGGAATTAATCAACAGAAGGGGTGTGGTTTTTCATCACGATAACGCTAGACCTCACACATCTTTAGCCACTCAGCAAAAATTAAGAGAGCTTGGCTGGGAGGTGTTAATGCATCCGCCGTATAGTTCTGACCTTGCACCTTCAGATTTCTACCTGTTTCGGTCTCTTCAGAATTCTTTAGGCAGTGTCCGGTTAACATCACGAGAGGACTGCCAAAAACAATTGTCGCGGTATTTTGATCAGAAGACCCAAAATTTCTATAGCAATGGGATCATGTCCCTACCTACAAGATGGCAAAAAGTTATCGAACAAAATATAACCGACATACCTTAGTTAAATATGAAAACTATATTAAAAAATGTTGTGAATTTTCTTAAAAAATGCGAAGAAACTTTTTCCCCAACCTATTATTATATAGAAATAAAATAGTAAACAATGTTTACAATAAGTGAGCTGCTTAGGCTTACTATTATATACTATTTGACATTGGACGGTAATGGGTAAATAATAATCTAAGACAAGTTTTTGAACAATAATTATATACGCATTTCCATTTTATATAAAAATTATGATAAGAATCATCATCAGTAATTTCTTATAAAATGCTAGGAAAATGCTTTAAAATGCCCTTATGTTAAAAACAAGAAAAAAAGTAAAGAAAACCTCAATTTGTGTTAGTTTACGTATGTGTTATATTTTAAAACTCTGCATGGCAGTTTTTTTTTTTCTAATGTTTAAAATAATTTCTGGTGCAATGTAATTAAGGTAAAATTGCTCTAATTTTTTAACTATCATTGATCATGTTCCGCAGAAACTTGTTACAACTTGATTGCGTACGGTGTGTGGGCTATCCTACGAAATCTATGTTAATTATTTTCAGTTTTTATAGCATCATACAGGGTAGAAATATAAACTAATTATTCGTTATTGTGTAGTAGGTGAGTTTTAATTTTAGTGAAATTTAAAATACTATAAAGTAAATGAAATTACAAAATTTTACAGCGCCCCCCTAACCCACATCAACGCCCCCCATTTTTTCCTCGGCCCCTTAACGCCCCCCTCTAGGTTTCAAACGCCCCCCAGGGGGCGTTATCGCCCACTTTGAGAAAGACTGACATAAATAAATAATATAATATTATAAAGAGGAAAGATTTGTTTGTTTGTTTGTATTGAATAGGCTCCGAAACTACTAAACCGATTTGAAGATTCTTTCACTGTTTGAAAGCTACACTATTCCCGAGTGACATAGGCTATAATCTTTTTTGAAAAAAAAAATAGGGATCCTTATTAAACTCCAAAAATGTAACCCAAGGTGTAAAAAAAATTACCTAAAATATTCTTTACATCGTGTGCCCTGCGTAAACTATTGATGATAGAATAAAATAATGTACTACGACTTTGTAGAACACATTATTATTTACAAAAAGTATCGCGACAGCGTATGTCTAACTATTATAGTTATGCCGCAATAAGTGTTCTTTTATTTACAAAAAATAAAACAACGTAAAATATCGTTGAAATTTTTGTTAAAGACCCGAGCGGAACCGGAGCGGGCCGCTAGTATGACATAAACATACCATTTTAATATGCAGTTATGTAGTTGTATTTATTTTTAATTTGATCGATCATTATTACTCATCTGAACTTTTGCTGTGAACGTCCGTATAGTATATCGCAGAATTTATCATGACTCATGTTTTTTTACTTTGTTTTGTTTTGTTATTCACGTAACTAACGTCCTGGTTTAAATGCAAATTATTTGTTTACGTGAAAAAATTAATAAAATTTTAATTCTACGGAATTACGTTATTTCAATTAAATAATACCACGTGAACAAGCATTTATCGCAATGGCAGTGAATATGCGGATCGTGAATAAGAAAAAATATCCGTTTGTTCCGGTCTGATCTTCTCAATTTTTTTTTTTCTTTTCAGATACTGCTATTGCCGTAGCAATCTCTGCAACTCTTCGCCATCTGTGACTCACGAAGGCTACACCGACATTATGGGATTCATTGTAGTGTTCAATCTAATGAAATACATAAACAGTCTTAGGTAGTTGTCAATATTGCCTTAGGTAGTTTAATATTTATGACGCATTACGCTCACTCGACTCATCGCAGAGCTATTTGTGATATTTTTATGTAAATAATACGAAAACAGACATGTTTTTTTGTTGTATTTGTATAGGTTTAGTTGGACGAGTTCGTTTTAAGTCTTTAAGGTTTCTACATATTCTATGTAACAACATTGGGGACCATCAGTGGTTTAGATAAATAACTCAATGAATGT